AGTAATGATGACGATAAAAACTATTGCACATCACTATTGCTTTTTATTAAAAAGATTTTGCAGACAAAAGTTTTTAGTCCGGTTTTGCATTCTTCAGACAAAAGCAGTCCATTCCAGATTCTAGCTCGGATTCCATCTTACGGTCTTTCTTTTTTNATGTTTTTTTTTTTTTTTTTTTAAGTTGTTCTTTCGGCATTGTTTCACTGCATGTGAAAATAAAATAAAAAATTCAGTCGATGTTTTACATAAATTTATAAACCGGCATAATTCCTTAAAAGTGGAACATGTTTTTTTTTTCAATTAACATTTAATATAAAATATGTAAACTGACATGTTTCTCAGTATGCTTTATTTTTATGTTTCAGTATGTTTAATTAAAAGGAAATGTTTTATTTTTTCTTTCTTTCTTTTCTTTTCAAACGACATTTTACAGATTTATAGATTTCAAAATTTACTCTAAAAATATTCCTCCTTTTTTAATTTAAAGTTATCAAATCATGTTTACTTAAAAGTCAAAATTCACAGTATGTTTTGTTTCTGTTACGCCAATTCATTAATATCCATTATATTATACTGTATGCGGATTTATTTATTCTTTCGTTTTACAAATGAACATTAAAATTATTTTAAAATCTCTTATTCATACGTAGGATTTCTTTCTGCCTTACCTTTTACGTGAAATTCAGCTAACATAGAAGGTTTATTGGAATTGATTTTATCGCTAAGTAAAGGAAAAGAGCTTTTAGATTCGGGGAAGAAAATAAAATTTTGCATAATTTAATATATTTCTCAAAATGTGACTTTAGTGGTACCGAAGAACAATTACGAGAAAAAAATTTCTACGAAGAAAAGGCATTTCCTGCCCCAGAGAGCGATAATAACTGTTTCTTGGATCGATGTCCACCCCCGCACGAATTCTACACTATGTCCCAAACTCCCACGCATCGACCTTTTCCTGACGCGTGTACCCCCCCTTCTCTCCAGGAAATTCGGAGCTCTTTCTTGGGTATCCTAGCAACAGATGCTGTGTCCTTCCAAAGATACGATCTCATGAACCGAGTTAAACCACCACCAAGACCTGATGATTAATATATNACTGCTGTCTATAATAGAACAGTAGTTAATCTGTTTCCCAAAACCACCTGCAGAAACAAGCTTCCAAAAAAGTTAGAAAGAAAAAAAATTGCCAAGGATTTTAAAATATGTTCTAAAATAAAAATAAAAAATTCCAAAATCTCAGAAAATGTCAGTAAAGGGCAAAATTTTTAAAAAGAAAAAAAAATTAAAAATCTGAGTCTTAATTAAGAGCTACTGTAGGGGCCTCAACTTTAACACATACAATTAAAAAAGCAAATCCCATTGAGTAAATAATGTTTGTATATTTAAAACACACAACAAGAACAAATAAGCATTGAAAATTAATTTCACAAGTATTACTTATTAATTTTACTTCTATTATATCAACTCCCTTCTTCATTCGAAACTTCGCTCATTAGCAGACTGTATAGATGGAGAGAAGCGTGCTACGGAACCCGAAACATGATTCTCTTATTTAAATATTTATTAATGTATAAAATATTTAGTTATAAAATATTTCATAAGAGATTTTTCATTATTTTATCAAATAAGGTCTTATCAGTCTATATCTAGTCTAGTTATGAATTTGTTTTTAAAACGAATAAACCGAATTCTTCGAAATGAAAAGAAAGGCTGTTATTATAGGGAAACATATATATTTCTTCTATTTTGAAAATTGCTGTAGGAAATACAATATTTGATAAATGATTTTCATAATTTGTTCGCTTTTATTAGAAATATTATATTTTATTTTTAAAAAATGCAATTTCTATTTCATTTTACTTGAAATAATTTCACCCGAAAGATCAAAGAAATTATGAATACCAAGTTGGATCGAAATAAAATGAGTGGTTCCAAAAAAAGTTATAAAAAGTACTAACTTGTGGAACCGCTCGAACTCTTCGACGGAACCCTAGGATTCCGCGGAACAGCATTCGGGAAACGTTGAGCTAGAGTACTCAAATCTCTATGGAGGCTCTGTACCTGATAACAATACAAATTTCACGCGTTTTCAGTTCTTTATAAGTATAAATAATCTTCTTCTTCTTCAGGAGCGCACCAGCCCTTTGCAGGCCTTGGCTGCCTCAACGGCACGCCTTCTCCAGCTCCCTCTGTCCATGGCAACTCCCCTCCAGTTCTTAAGTTTCAGGACTTTGAGGTCGTTTTCAGTGTCTTTGAGCCATCGAGTAGGTGGTCTACCTCTAGAGCTGGACCCCTGAGGGTTCTTGAAGGTGGCAATTTTTACAGGGCTATCTTCAGAGCCTCTCCATATATAGTAGTATAAATAATAGTGATTTTATAATGAATCGAAACATTTTCAACTTATTAGAATGTTGAAATTATTTCCGGATTCTGTGACTGTTAATAAAACAATCGTTTCCTGTCGGCAGAATTTATTGTGATTCTATCGCTAGATTGCATTTATCGTCCATCAAAATTCGGGAGGGTATCTTATTAGAGAGCTGAAAGTACATTTGGAATCCAGAGGTTGGAAAAACTACATTATTTTTGTAGCTTACTACAATTGTAACTACTTTGTTACAAATGTAGTTAACTACAACTACATTTTTTTTTAAAAATTTAGTGACTGCGAAGTACTTTGAAATTGTAGCGACTTCTTCGCTACTTAAAGAAATCGAACTTTTCTGAAGAAATTAATTCACAGAGCGTGAGAATGTTCGAAAGGGTTTTGAATTGGTTTATATTAATCACGAAGAATTATTCAGAAATATTTATTCATGTTTACATCAGCTATTTTGTTATTCTAAAACATTTTTGTTCGAATTTGTACCTTTAGTCTTCGATTTTAAATGCCCTTCTTGACAGCGAATAATGGGGATGCTAGGAAATTATCAAATACTTGCTATTTCATTAAGCGTTTAATGCTCTCTTTTTTCTTCCTTTTAAGAAATTAACCGCTTCCTTTGCTAATTTTTTAAAGAAAAAAAAAATGCAAAAAATCAACTTATTTTTTTATTCCATTCATAAATACAAGGAACTAAAACAAAACATAATACACAAGTTCTAAGTTTTTTTATGCGTGAAAAATATTTAATTTACAATCAGTTTACTATCCCAAACTATCTCAGGCAAAATGAAAAAATTGAAACAGGAGTCCTTAGCAACCTATTCTACGCACATTACCCTAATACAAAACCTTAGAAAACAACCTTCTATATAAAAACCTTAGATCGAGATTGACGTAGGGTTTTCAAGTGTTAAAAAATCCTTTAATGAAGCTATTCTTAAGGTGAAAATAATCTTGAATCTAGGTCATTAAAATGTTTTTTTAGCAAAGCCTTGTGTGCTCAGCTAAAATCCACTTTGTCACGATATTTTAATGGACGATGCCATTGGATCCTATCGCTAGTGTGACGTCAGCTAAAACGTCATGATGAACCTAAGTGACAATACTTTTTAAAAAAGCTTTAAAAAATATATAATTTTTAATCCTTTTAGGATGAAAGGTTTGAAACAGCAATATTTTTGCTCTATTGAAAAATGGTTTTTAGTACAAACATTTTTGTGACAGTAAAATGAAAACTCTGACTCAATATTGCCGTAAGGTTATATGTCTTCTGGGTAATAATATTGGATGGTGCGCTTTTATAAGATTAGGCGTAAAAGTCAATCGGAAACAGTAACCCGGAAGTCTTTCGACACATTTTAAACACTATCACTATCTGTGCTTAGTAGATTTGTAGCTCACCAATCAAGTTCTGTTAATAGCGATCAGAAGTGCGTGAATCGGATGCAGTGGGAACGATCCGGAATTCCAAAGGGAATAAATTCTGCTGACTAAATAGAATTGAAAATAAACAGGAAAGGAAGCTAAAAGAAGCTTGATGAACCCATGGAGGTGACTCACGAATGTACACTTCGATTATCGATGTCGCACGCAAATGATGAAACGCTTTATTATTCCTCATTTTTTCCCCAGCTGTTTCTCTGCAGTTAAACAATAAAGGGTATGAAAATCAATTCAGGCGGTTATCTAAAGGAATCCAATATTTTTTATTCAAAGTGAACTATTCTATCTAAATACTACAAAAAAATACACAAAAAATGCGCTTATTTTCGTTTAGTATGTAAATAAAATAATTTATTAATATGATCACAATGAAACATCCGTATTTGGACACAACATGGTATATGTACAGAGAACAAAATTTAGGTTCTCAATAAGCACTATAATATTCAATATTTTTTTTTACAAAATCAACTTATTATTTAACAAGTAATTAACACTGAATAACATTTAATTTCGGTCATCTCATTATTTTACTCACTTAGAAATGAGCAGCAACTACAATGATATGTTGACAGGTTTCAAAAAAAAAATTCTTTCGCAGCACAATGCATTACGAAACAAACTCGAGAACAGAATTTTGATTAGTATGTGTGAAATTTCAAATATGTTCTCGAATATTTTATTAAAAAGAGCAGGATTGTTTCTTTTTAATAATTTTAATTAATTAAAAAAGAAATTTAATTTAAAAAGCGAGACATCCAGAATAAGTTGATTTTTCCTACAATCTCTTTTTAGAGAAAACGTAAAAAGTGGACACAATAATGTTACACGACAAGCGGTTCGGTTAATGAATGGAAATCGAATCCCAAAAATATTAGCTGCTCATCACGTTGAGACTCACTTTTAATATCTTCTCATCATTTAGAGAAATATCCTTCTTTTCAAAATATAGTTCGTTCACCAGTAGTTGGCACTTGACTCCCCTTTCATGTCGTGGCGATACTGCTTCGCTATCGTTGGGAGAACAAGATTGCTATTTTACAATCGAATGACAAAAATATTTATTTCGCTATCTGTATATGCATTTTTTTTAACATTAAATGTGTCATAGATTTTATGATCTCTCTCTCTCTCTTTTGAGTGAATAGTTTGTTCTTTTTGAGACATTTTGCTGTAATATATTTAATTAGCTAGAGTAACGAAAGGTATAATAGCAGATGATAAAGCGAAGTAAGTTACTGAAAGAAAAAAAATTCATTGCAAGCGTTTGGCGCGCTATAAGGGTTGTCTCAATTTCAAGGGCGGACACTTTTCTACTTGTACTCTGGAGTCGAAATGAACTCTTCGTCCGAGGAGGTGGAGTCAAGTGCCAACTCCTGGTGAACGAACTATAGTTTTAACTGAATTTTCAAACAGAAAACTTAACCCTGTAACCAAATTTTCATTTGGATAGTGTTAACTACCCTTCAAAAAATTTCCCATTAAAACGAAGTAATTCCAGACATCTATCTTTTCTGTTTTCGTCATTTTTGAAGAAAATTTGAATTGATGAACCAGCCTATGTTACGTATTGCACTCATTCAAGGATTTTCATTGGAATGAATGCAATATATGCACATAATGATGCATCATCACCTCTTTCATGTTACGTATTCACTTCATTCTTAATGAAAAGTCATATTCTTGAATTTATCACACAAACTAAAGGTTTTGTTACAATATTAACTAAATTTCCTCGATAACGAATTTTTCCACTGGTTGCTATCGAATGTTTCTATATAGAGGCTTTACTGGATACTATACTTGGTTCAAAATCACGCTATTAAGAAAACGCGGCGTTTAAAAAATGATTTATGATCCTATTACAGCCTGTTGAGAGGTATACGAAGGAGCCATTTATAATAGTGGGATCGTCCCTAGCGACGTACCATGCCATTTACGGGCATGGGTTTCTATGCCATTTTAATCCTGATGATGTGCCTTGACTTTCCAAGAAGCGTATCGCAACATTTGCGTCGTTCCCTGCTATATACAATGTTTTTAAACTTATTCATTTCGATAAAAAGCGATTAAAAATGTCATTCAAAAAATTGCTGTAGCTCGGATGAGTGATACGAAAGTATCTAAAGTCTGTAAAAAAAATCTCACGCGACAAACAAATTGTTTTTTTTTTCATTGTCATTAAAGAAAATCATTGGCAAACAGGAAACATTTTCAGAAACTTAAAAATCACAAACCAAATTAAAAATAAGGTTGACTTAAGAGTTCAGAACCGACGTCCATAAGAGACATTTTGTCCTGAACGAAAACCACGATTTAAGAATAATCATGGCGAGTAGAAATTTCGTGCCCTGCTCTATTCTACGTATAGAGTGATATCCTGGAGTATGTCATTCAAAGAAATTATAAAATTTTTCATTTGTAAGCATATTGCAACCATGTGCCGCAAGAATAAGACCTTTAAAACCTATGAGTAAGAAGAAGAACAAAAAGAGTTGCAGTTAAAAAAAAATTATTAAATTAAAACCTATTTTTTCTTTTTGAACGAATTAATTGAGAAAAAATGATCTATTTGAGACGGACTGTTTGTCTTGCAGAAAATTGACGTCATAAAGTTGCGAATTGAAAGAGGTCTCTGATGCATCTTCATTGAGCCAATCACGTTTATTCGTAAACATTAACGACGCTTTCTAATACACGAGTCCATTACATGACACTGTGCGTTTTGTCACTAACATTGTGCTGCAAAAAAAAAAATTGTAGGAATGACTAGACAGGGTATAAGTCAAGCACACACTTATTCCTAATGAGCTTTGTCTCAGCCTCTCTAATGTGGACCCCAACAGTTCGTCGCAACGCGCTTTCACGCTTCTTCCAACAAGGGTATTTTAGTTTTATTACTTTTTGGACAGAAATCCCAATACCCAGTTCATTCCTTGCAAACCGAAATGTAGTCCATTGCAAAAGAATTAATAATCGGCGACATAAAATTTAAGAAAATATTTTATTCGAAATAAGAAAACATCGACTGTCATTCCGAATAATATCTTAAAATTAGACCCTTGTTCGGTGTGACTTCCCTCTGAATCATAATAACTTCCGGGGGGGGGGAAGAATTTCAGACATAAATTTTATCACATTGCAGCGTTGCGATGAACTGTTGTGACGATCATTTTACAACATCAAGGCAAATTCTTGGACAACACTTTTTGAGCGACACATTTCACAATGAAAAGATAGTCACACATGGATGGGGGGGAGGAAATCCTCAAAAGGGGACTAGACAGAAGAATAGAATCAGAGTATTATCTCTTGCCCATCAGTGCTCTTGGGCCTCGGTAAAAAGAGAAGAATATTCTTCCACTATAAGAACTTTCCCCACAGGTCATCACTTAGAAAACTTATACAAATAAAAGATGGAATATCTTAAGGATCTCTTCGGCCATCTTTTTTTTAGAAGACGGGCTTCTTTTTCTTCAGGTTGGTCAATTCATCGAGTAGAGGGTCATCGTACCTTTTCTGTTGTTGTTGTTGTTGTCCACCATGCTGTATAAGCTTCTTCAGAAGTGGTATGGGACTCTAGAAAAAGGAAAATAAAAACTAAACAACCTTCGATCCTTCTCAAGACATTTCAATTCATCGATGAACAGTCTATGGATGGTGTTTTCTACACTAGGGTGCGCTGCAAGCTCTTCACTGCCCATATACTTCCGGGTTACTTTTTCCGGTTTCTTTTGAAGCTCACAACCGTGATCATTGTGTTTTGAGACTCTCTTGCGTAGCGTTTCCTGTATACGGGCATTTGTTATCGGATTTATTATTTGTGTTTAAAAAAAGAGTCGTCATTTGAAGACCTGTCTTTTCAAGACGCCAGAATCGTTTTTATTTATTTATTTATTTTTTTAATTATATTTTTTTTAAGAAAAAGAATCGTTATAAAACGTTTCTTACCTTGTCAACACTATACCCACTTCGGAATTTCTAAAGTGAACTAAATCTCTCTGCTCGAACAATATGCTAACACAACCGGGAGTAGATGGTGCACGACTTGCAACAAGAACAGTAAAAAACAAGTAAAAAGAGGCTAGATTAGGACTGCCAAAAAAGCGAGTTCTTTCTAAATCAGATCACCTTTTGTAGCAATACGTCTATGAATAAACTAAAACAAATTTTAACTTCAAACTCACCAGAATTACTTAATATCTTTTGAAACACAGCAGCTTCTGAGCTCAGAAATTACATAATTTATTTCTTTTATTTAAAATAGAACTATATGTTTTGAAAATATTGCCTCCCAGAATAAATTGTAGTAAGCAAGTGCATGCTTTCTAACCGGAAGTGGAACAAGTGAAGAGCTCGGGAATGTTGTTATTTACATTTATATTGGAAACACCATCCATCCTCGTCACTTTAAAACCCTTTTCATGCGCCATTTTGCATCGGGACAAACTCGCCTTCGCAGAAGGAGCTTTTTGAGTAAACCGCAGGAATATAGTTCGTTCACCAGGAGTTGGCACTTGGCTCCGCCTTCATCACATGGTATCCGACAATACTATTTCGCTATTTTTGGAACAAGGGTGTGAACAATCCTGAACAGGGTTGCTATTTGGCGATCGTATGAAGAAAATATTTATTTCTCCATCTTTATGTCCATTTTTTTAACATTAAATATGTCAGAAATTTGATATTTCTTTATTTGATATTTCTTTCTTTTGAGTGTACAGTTTGTCTTTTTTGAGACATTTTGCTGGGAAAACAGTAGTTTTCAAATTTAAAATTTATTTAATTAGCTAGAGAAGATATAATAGCAGATGATAAAGCGAAATAAGTGACTGAAAAAGAATTCAATGTTTGTATTTTGCACGCATTGAGTGTTGTCTCAATTGCAAGCCGCTGAGACATTTCTCCTCCCGCGCTGAAATGAAGTCTTCGTCCGAGGAGGTGGAGCCAACTCCTGGTGAACGAATTGTACCTTGAATACAGTATAATGCTACCCCGAGTTACGTGGAGAAAAACTCAAATTCCCCGAACCTATTTATTACAGCTTAACACCAAATCGAGCTTTAATATACACTGTAAATCCAAACAACCATAAAAAGTAATAGTCAACCATGAACATGTTCCGGGGATTATTTTCACTTCTCAAAACTCTGAAAATTTGATATCGTCAAAAACCAAATTTTACGTTGGACAAGCACGTGAAAAGGTTTGTCACGAGTTAAAAATAATAAATATATTAATGAAAAAATAAATACGAAAAAAATTAATTAAAAAAAAAACATCGTTGCTTAAATTTTACATCAGATATGTTTGAATATATGAATTTGTATATTTATTAAATCATATTACTGTTTCTAATTTCTTTCTGATTTTGTTACTTTTCTGCCGATTAAGCCTTACTGTAATAATGCTTTATGTTAAAAAAAACTAAATTTATTTTATGAATTTGTACATGCGTTTGCATCCTAACTTAATTGTGCCGTAAAAATTTTGCTGTCTTATAATTAATGTGTTGCATTAGATCGATCGTTTATTCAAATAGATTAGTCTTTTTTTTTAATGGATGATATTGAACTGTCGTAAGTCGTTTTATTTTCTTAACCTTATGCCGCAGATGGGTCGCCGGTGTCCATTTAATTTTTTTTTTTCCAGATACTCTAATCACAAGCAAATTTTCCAATTATTGATTTTGTAAATCAAAGAAATTTTAAGGATGAGTAACTATTTCTCTTAGATTTAAATGTAAATCATTTTACGCTGTCTCTCGCTATAAATCGAAAATACTTTGCACATAATTATAAAACTCGTTTATCCAAAGATAATTGCAAGTAAAAATAGTTTTTAGTAATTATTTCAATACATTTTTTTTTTAAAATTTATTTGATAAGGATCAATAAAATTTTGAAATTTAAGACGTACACATTTTAAACTAAGTCATTTTAAATGACAGAATTTAAATGAAATGGATCGAATAGTTTTTGAGAAATAGAATTTTAATTCTCTCACTCAGGAATCATTCAATCTTTTTCCTTAAAATTTTGTTATTTAAATTTGCGTAGTTAAAATTACCAATAAAAATTTGTAAGCTGTCGATTATTTTTTCAACCCTTATTGAATAAAATGAAGCATGGTGGCTCAGTGGATGAGGAACTATTGTGAAGTACTACTGGTGGCTGGAAGCCCACACAGATCGATGAGTGTCAGCTATGCCTAAGAACCACAATCATGTCGTGGGTCATAAAATTGTGGCACCTTAACGTCCTCAACTGGCCGTATGAGGGATATGAATATGAGGGATTTGAAAATTAGGTCAGAATAGTTTAGTCAGGAGAACGGTCAAAAGTGTGAGCCACCTACATTTAAAATTAGTTTCTGTGGAAAATCTTTAAATAAAATAAAAGTTTGCCTATTTTCTGTCATAATCCGTAAAGAAACTAGATATATATATAATATATATATATATATATTTNATACATATATATATATACATATATATATATAGTAGCTATTTTAGGAAAATAGATTTTGAGACAGAGCTTGCTTACATGACAGAGGGTCAAAATTTAAATTTTAAAAAAAAGTTTACGTTTAACGTTGAATTGAGAAAGAGAGTTTAACTGGCAATATTTGGTATGCGCTAAATCTTCCATCTCCTGAACGTGTCCTTTAAAAAAAAATTAAATTAAATAGACCAGTGATTCAATCATTTGACTTTTAGAATTCATTTCAAAAACATGTCTACTAAAATGCACCCCAAGAAAAAAACGAAAGATTTGTGATTGATGATGACTTCGTAAATATACCTATTTGTGCTGAAATTGTGCTTCAGTAAGGCGAGTTTGTCTCACCGATCGTAATTCGTTTGTCATAACCGAACGTGTTCCCTACATCAGAAAACTCTCACAAAGTTTTGAGAATAAAATAAATGGCAAATGAAAAACAATTATTAAAAGAAGTTTGTCAAGGGTAAGTTGTTAAGGCGAATCTACTAAAAGTTCATTCTGGATTATATATCCCTAAAGAGGATTTAATATATCTTTTCATTTTATTTTATCCAAAATGCGATTTTGGGACGGAAGGATTTTATTTTACTGTGTCAACCATTCAATTCTTAATGAAATAAGTTTATAAGAAATAAAAAATTTGAATCGTACATTTTTTGGGGGGATAGAGACGCTATCCGAAGGAAAAAGAGAATCATTCGATCTTTTCCGGTTCAGAAATACATATAAAAAAAGAGAGAAATTTTTTTTACTTTTACTGATAATGGAGTTTTTACGCGAATAAATTATTTTCTGATAAAAGTCAAAGTAGTGGAGATTTTTAAACTCATGTAGCGAATAAAAAAGAAATGGCAGGTTTTAATGTTCATAATCATTTTTGAAGGTTTAATAATTTTAAGTTATTTATAGAATAAAAAATTATATAATTTCCGGTCATTCCATTGTGGCTTTTAAGTGTTCATTTCATTTTGAACGATATTTCATTCTATTCATAATGTTTGAATTTAAATCGACAGCAATGCCTAAAAGCAAAGAAGCACTTTTTCTTTTTTCTTTATTTGAAATGATTGCGTGAATGCCGGAACTATTTGTTTTGTTGTTGTTTGTGACATCTCCCAAATAAAAATGTTACATGTTCTAACGGCATATATATCCCAGCTTAGAGCGAAAATGTGAATTGAAACCCACAACATATGATTATTTTATGACACATTTTGTTTCTAAATAAACCGTCTTATAACAGAATGTCATAACCGAACGTAAACACTTTGTTTCTTGATAAGAAAATAGATTTAAAAAAATTTCGTGAAGAAATAAGAAATGGTTTTCCAAATTTTTTACCGATCTAAAAGAAATTTTTTTTGTCTACAAATGAATTGATAAATGGTACAATACATCCAGCTAAAAAAACTTACACGTCCAAATGTTCCATTGGCAGTCATGGTTAAAGCTACCCACTGAGTGGTTATATTTGGTTTAATAAATTTTTAATTTTAAGTTTTCGACATGTTTTCACTGCGCTATAAAATAGAATAAACATTAATGAAGGGGGGGGGGACTTTTATGAGTTATAATTGGATGGTTAATTAGTTGTTTATCCCTTTAAGAGAAAGTGTCACTAGGGGCAACTGATTTGACGTCACAGAGGTACGTATTTGGACATCATTATTCGGGAGATCTATTTTTAGAAGAGGTGTCTACTACGTCACACAAGATTTTGCCGCATTGAAGTATTTTCTATTTTGGGACACCCAAATCTCATGAATGGGCACAAAACTTCTGAATGAGGTCGACATCGATTTCTGATGTGACCAATCGCGAGCCTTCATCCCACCTACACATCCGATGACGTCAGTGTTGCTATCTCTTTCAAAATAATGCATTGAAAACGTTCCTTTAAGAAGAAGTTGACTGAATATTTTGGATTTAAGAAGAATAAATACATTTCCTATTTCAAACAGAATAAAATACATTAAAATATAGATAAGGGGGGTTAAAAATAGAGAAATATTCGTAAATCTCTCGAAATTCGTAACTTCACGACAGAAAATAATCTCACAAGATGACAGTCCGTATTTTTTTTTATATCTCTTTCTTTCTTTTTTTATCTCTTCATTTTTGAAAATTAGTAACTGATATGAAGTCAAGGCACAGTTGTTTTTAAAACTGTATTCTAACGATGAGAGGGGATGGAATTGATTTATTTTTTTAAATCCTAAATGCTTCGATGTGAAGTCGTAAAAAAAAAAAAAAAAGCTGTATAATATCAGCTGATGATTAAGATTTTACCCAAAGAATCTTATAGTGCTTCAAAGCATGTTAACTCACTTAAAAAGAATGGTGCGTCACTTAACATTACCAATTCTATGGATTCTTAGTTTTCGTTATCACTTTAGATCTCTCCGATTACATTAACTTCCATTAACCTGTCATAACCTTCAATAATATTGCCTGTTATGTTTTTTTTTTTTTTGGTGCGACATTGTGAGCATATCTGCGATAGTTATTACATGGGCAGTGAAGGAAAAATATGTAAAATAATTATTCAAAATACATTTAACCAGGTGATTTTAAATAATTTAATTTAAACCCAAATGGGAAAGGTCACACTTCTTAGTGCACCCTCTTGTCACCATTATTAAGAGTTCTATTCCAAACGTGACACCCATTATGGAAAGTGTGGATTTAGTCTGGAAGTACAGTCCCGCCCTATAACATTCTGTGTAAAATCTTAATTATAAGGTGATACTCTACAGCTTAATTGTTTTTACGCTACTGAAACCGGTTTGCATTTGTTTTACTCTCCTGTATCAATTAGTTAACATTGTAATGCAATACGTTAAAAAAATAATATATTAATGCAAACCGGAAGTATATAAAAAATCTCCTCAATAAAAACCCATTACATGTGTGTTTAAATATAAAAGTATTGCCTAATAAACTCGTGCAAATCAGGTCATTATTAAAACACTACAGTGCGTCTCATGATTTGGTCTATCTATTATAATATATGTACTAATATAACGCTTGATGTAATAAATATTCTATATAATATATATCGGGTAATGTCGTCAAATTTATATTATCTATCGTGTCATTTAACCGATTGATACAGAAACGTAATCAACAGTCTCGTCAAAACAATAAAACCTGTAGAAGATTTTACACAGAATGTTGCAGGGCGTCTCATGATTTGGCCAGGAACATTGTACAGTATAGTGGTGAGGTTATTTTAAAGGATTTTTATTATATTGAACCTATACGATGTTTCTTACAGAACAAAAATGGAACTTAGTGTAGAAAATATATGTTTTTATGAGGCTTAATAAATAGCCTCTTTTTCATACTAATAAAAAAATATGATTGTGTAATCTTGGTTTTGAATTTAAATGTAAGAATTTTGAAGCATCCACTTTTTCGTTGAATGGAAGCGAAGCAAAAATATATAATACAATGGAATCGTGAGAGACTTTTTTTTTTCTTTCAATTTTTTATAATTCCAGCTTTTATCTACATTTTAGCTTTGTTAATAAAAAGATTGAATGATCAACAATTAACAAATTGTAGGTTTTGAATGAAATGTATAAACGCTTTTGGAAAGAAAAAAGGAAATAAAAGAAACTATCAATAATTTTTATTCAATAATTTATAAGCAGTAACTATTCTGCTTTGGAATAATTTCTCCACTGTCATAATGGAATAACTATCTGATGGGGAAAAAATGGATAGAATTTTGAACATTCTTAGAAAAATATTTTGGGGAACATTCTGATAGGAAAATGTTACTGATGCCGGAAATTAGTTTGAATTTACCTGAATTTAATGTAAGGAAAGGTGTGAAACATTTTGGATTAAAAGATAAGAAAAAATCAGAGACTTAAAGCTATTTTACTTAAATAAAAACGTGGTAAACAGTTTTAATAGATATGGTTACAATAATTAATAAGCGCTTTAGTGTTATCGTTCTGTCCTTTTCCCTAAAGTGGACATTTTAAATTTAAAAAAAGCATGAAATTGTTTTTTTTTTAATTTATTTAATATTATTATTCAATCTTCTTAAGATTATGGAAGAACTCGCATCAGGCTTAGACAGGGGTGAAAGCGAGACGGAAAAGAAGAAAGGCTGGTAGCAAAACCATTTCAGTCATAGCTAGTTTTCGGGAGGAGTTTACTTATTCTTTTTTTAAACCATTCAAGAATATATACTTTATCTTGAAAAAAGACCAGTCTTATATATATGCTTAAAGTATAAGAGAAATCTTGATAGTTACAGATATTTCATTTTTCTTGAAAAAATGCCCAAATGAAATGTTTTTCGTACCAGTTTTTGCTTTTTTCCGTCTAAGGGTTTTCAGCCATGGGCTTAGATGGGAAAAAATGTCCGCCGTTCTACAAGTTCCTGAATTTTTTCATATGATGTCATTTGATATTTTGAAATAAACTTAATTTGTGAAAGTAGTTTCTGTTTACACTCATTATCTGTTTTCGCACCTGCTCAGTAGTGTGTGTTTTTACATTATTGTTACACTTTCTTTCCGATATTTAGGCTGTGAATATACAAAGTTGAATAGAATTTAGTACCGGGACATAAAGAATATGCGTGAAATCTTCAATTCTTTTTCATAAATAAAACACCGTGCTTTTTCTTAAATTCAAGTAGGAATCTGTCTAATTCAATATGGAAATAATTGTGAGAAAACGTGGATGAAAAGTGTTTTACCTTTTGGGTTGCCTTGTTGTTGTTCCATTTGGTTTTCTGGCTGCTTTGAAGTGGCCTGAAGAGAGGTTCCTCTTTCTGTCCAGATACATCCTCCTCCCTCTCCTCTGCCCGCTGATCTGGTACCACCAGTGATTTCATATCCTTTTTCTCGGGTGCAGGTGGAACGGCCGTCATCTGAACCTGCGGACAAAACACTTCATATGAGGAAGGAGGTTTTGCACAAAAATAAGAGGTCTTAAAACAAAGGAAGCAAATCGAACACACGGTATGAGTTGGAAATGAAAGAAAGCCATAATTTATTCATGTCAGTTCATGTTGGCTCTGAAAAATTTCACAAAAATAAAAATTGGATTGAAATTCAAATGAATGGACTTAAGGGCATTTACATTAAATGGAGAGGAAGACCACGAAAATCGTTCGCCTGACCACAAGGGGACTCTAATCTATGATCCGTTAACCACTGAGGATATTTTACGTCAGCACTGTGGTCGGTGCAAGCCAGATGCAGAATTCGTATCGACCAGCATTAGCTGGGATTCGAACCCCGGTTCACCTCACTGGAAGTTTCTTTCCCCTGAGCCATCAAATTTTCTTTATACGCAAGTATCTCTTTGAAACAAAATTGTCCTCTGGAGAGATAAGTATGACGCAATATTTTATATGAAATGAAACATCGCAATTGTGCATGATTTTAGAATTTTGACGAATCGCGTGTGCATCGAATTTGGTGCGGATGAGTTCAGAATTGCTGATAAAGTACCAGCTTTATTCGATGTTGTTTGTTATTCCGATAATTATTTTGGTGAAAGAAGAAAAAAATTTTTATTTGCCCTCCCAAGTCACAAGATCCTTCAAATGATTCTTCTTCGCACAGAATGTGCGAAATGTCTTCATTAAAATACTTTTTTAAAAAATTAAATTTGGAAATGGAATCTGCTTTCCTCTCTGCATAGATTAGTTTTGTGGGTTCGATCCTCGTCGGCCGAAGACTCCCTCTATAGTAAATGGTGACTGATGCACGTTAAATCTGTCGAGTCACAAAGTCCTCCCTGTTCCCTCACCAAATCATACCTCTGGGGGTACTGGTCCAGTAATTTCCTTGCCTTCTGGATTGGGTTCAAAATGACAAGGCTACGGGAGTTGAACGTGAGTGGTCGTGAACCCTAAATTGGGTCGGCTGTTCAACGACGGTTATAAAATAGAATAAAAGTAAATTAGTTTTAATAAAAATAAATATAGTTTAGTTTAAATAAAAATAGATGAGTTTAAANCATATATATATATAACCGGGGTTGAATTTTGAGTAAGCGACAATCAATATTCAACTCCGTAAGCTTGTCACTTTGATCCTAACTAAGAAGACAAAGGATCTCCTGCATTTTCCTTTCGTGGAGAACAATTTTTTAATGAAACAAACCCGTATTTATGTTATATGGAGAGAACCACGATAATCTCCTCCAGTTTGCTCTTTTTTTTATTATTAAATTTGAATTTAACGAAACGAAGTAAAAACTTTCAAATAAATATCGAAATGATGTGTTGGATAAGACAATTCTGGATCTACGATATAGTTTCTTAGAATCTAGTTTCAGTTTTTTTCTTCTTTTCATATATGCTTTTGCTCTCTGTAATGGGAAAATAAATCCAAATGGGGCATTCCAATCTATTCAATACACTTAAATAGCTGCGAGATAAATAAAAAATCATCATGTTCCCATTTTAAAAAAGGCGCTCATAGAACTTAACGCACCTTTTGTGTGGGTGCAGCAGTAGTCGCATTTTGTGGTTCGGGGAGATGATCCTCATTTCGACGCCTTGGAACATCGAACATATCCTCCTTCGGTTGCTCCATCAAATAACGATCCATCAAATTGTTGTAGACATCAGATGGTTCCTTTAAATAGACATCCATTTATTATTGATAATGAATAATAAATAAACATTAATATTTAGGATACAGAGGAATAACCGTATGCCATTCAAACAATTGAAGAAAAATAGTGTTTAGAACAGTGATATAGTGTTTGGGAAACTATATTGTATATATTGTACATTAATCTAATGCTATTGTTCTCTTATGGTGAGTCATCTTCTTCGGAACCCAGCTCACTTATGTTAATCTCTTATATTAATCTAATTCTTTTGTTTACCTATTCTCTTATGGTGAGTCATCTTTCTCCGAACCAAATTTCAAAACTAATCAGTAGAGTTATTCGCCAGTCAGTGCCGGCATACGCTGGGCCCTAGGCCCTTCAAATTTTTGGAGTCCTTAGATTAAATTTTTTTTTCTTGTATATTTTTTTTATTTATTCAAATATAAAAGTATCTATATATCGTTTCATTTAAGAAAGCATATTTAAAATAAAAAACAAATATTAATAAATTAAATTCTACTTTATTTTGTTAAATTAGAGCTAAAATAACACTTTGAAAAAATTTGAAATTTATTAACACTTTACAAAATCAACGCTACTATAATATTGAAATTGTTTTTTTTCTTTCAAATAATCAGTGTTTTTCTAAATTTCTTTAAATTTATTTTCAAAAAATCCATTATAAGGGGGCCCAGGCCATGGGTAATCCAGCCCCGTCGGCAGTTGAGTAAATAAAAATAAAAAAAAACAAACAACCAAACTTACTTTTAAAAAAAATCACTCAAAATGTGAATACCTGGGCATAGACTTCCTCTCCGTATTGCGTAGGCGGTCTGTAGTCCCGATATTCGTAGTTGATGTAATCCCCCTCTTCGTCTTCTGCAGGTGCATAATCATCCACCCACTGATTCGGTGGTACATCTCCTGTCATAAATGTAGGACCACTCTGGTAAGGTACAGCCTGTGTGTCCACCTACAAAAACATACATTTCTTTTATTCCATCATTGAAACAAAATGAATGTTAAATAAAAAATCTATCTTGGCGATCATTCGAATTTTTTGGATCATGAAGCTTGCCCTATAGTGCATGGAAAATAATAACAAAACGAAATAACTTTTCATCTAATGTCAGATCTTCACACATTCAATTTTTGTAGTTGACCACCCAGATAACAAAATAAGGTTTTACTCGGCAACAACCATTTCATGTAAATCTAAAAAGGTTTTTCTTACGGTTTAAGTGTAAACCTTCTAATCTTAAAATCCATCCGCCTTGTCATGAAATTTTAATGGACAATGCAATTGGATCTTATCGCTAGTGTGACTTCAACTAAAACGTCATTATGGACATAAGTAGTAATACATTTTAAAATTTGCTTTAAAAATAATTTTTAATCTTTTTAGGATGAAAGGTTTGCAATATTTTTGCTTTATGGAAAAAAGGCTTATAATATAAACATTTTCGTGACACAAAAAAGAAAATTCCCACACAAGGTTGCCGTAAGGTTTACATGATTTCTGGGAGGTGATTAATTTGTGCAGTTACAAAATCAACTACAAAAGCCAGTTTTTTTTTTTTTTTTTNTGTTGTGGTAGTGCGATTGTTCCTGTTTTTCAGTGGCGCCATCTATGGCCAGAAATTCGACTTCTGCCACGCCATTCACACAACCACAATCCGTTTATAGGGCGGGTCACATTCACACACAAAGGAGAAAGGACATAGAACACAGAGAGAGAGAGAGAAACACCCATGCCTTGCCCGGGATTCGAACCCAGGACCTTTCTGATGCAAGGAAGCCGGATGCGGAATTCGTATCGACTGGGATTCGAACCCGGTTCGCCTTATTGGAAGACGAACGCTCTACGCCCTGAGCTCGCGGCTCATCCTTAATATTTTGTCAATTTTTAACTATTTCGATATATCCAGGGAGATTATTAAGTGAATCGAAAGCCAAAGAAAAAATCGTGTAAAAAATAAATTTAATTATAATTATTGATAATTATTCATTATTTCATTTAATAATGGTTAAAAAATTATAAGGTGATTGTATAAGGTATAAAAAATTTTATACCATTCTAAACTAATTTTAAATTTAAAAAATTACAAAATTTAAGTAAAATCAGTAGAAAAGCTTCTGAGTTTTAAAATAACAAGAAAGCCATATTTTTTTTTTTTTTAATTTTATATCTTAAGAACTATTCGATCGATTTTGTTCAACTGTTTAAAATTGCACATTTTAAAAACGGGTAAAAATTTATATATTTGACAAAAATTTCCAAATAACATAATAAAATATTATTAAAATTTAATTTCGTGCATGGGATTATCTCTTTGATTACGACTCTGCTAAATAAATTTTATAATTGAATGCTTTTTATTCACTTAAAAAACTTCCTGAGATGTGCAAAAAGTGAAATTGCCATTCAGGAATCGCTTTCTTGACTATTTGTTGCAGCTATCTTCCATGTTTTGATGGTTTATTATCCAAATGTGTCGAAGAAAAAGTAGATTTATGTTGCGAAAGTACATTGAACGAGCTTTATTAGTAGTTAGCACAAATTAATCAGCATTTCTGAGGTCACCTCATGGAACCATTAAGTTGACATTTAATTCGTAAAAATCAAATCGTTAGGACAAAAATAATTCAGGATGATACCCTTTTTTTTTTTTCTTTTGCTCAGGGTTATGTTTAGTAATATTACAAAAAAAATATATAGAAATATTCTATGAAAAATTAAAGAATATTATGTTTCAAGTTCAGCGATATATAGGAAATATTTAAGCTTTCATTTACCTTCAACATTTTTTTTATAAGCATTTAAAAAATTTAAATCGAAATTGTACCGAAAAAAAATTTTTTTTTCAGTTTCTTGAAGCTAAATTAAACTAAAATAATCAAATGTAAAAAAAAAAAAAAAAAAAAACTGGAAATTTTATTATCGTTGAAAGATAAATCAAACAAAAACATGAAAGAAAAACTTGAGAGAGAATGTTACCGTGAGAAAAACAATAAAAAAAAAAAAAAAGTCGTCGGTGAACATCAACAATAGACCTGCTTGTTTTGATATTAATTTATTCATTAATATTTTAATATTCATTCGGATATTACATTATTCATTAATATTTCATTAATAATCATTCGGATTTAGTAATATTTTAATTCTCATTAGGATAGATTAGGAAAGAAAAGTAAGTATGTATGTTGAGAATACCGGGATGTGGCACTTAGTGAAAAACACCAGTTATTTATGTAGGGAATACCGGGTAAAGAGTTTTAATTTAAAAAAAAAAACACTAGATGCCGGTTATTATATCCACATCTGTCAACACGTATGTTAAAGTACTGTTGATGAAGGCTTACCTGAGGGAAGTATCGGGTGACAGGTAACCTAAGCCTCTCGAGTGCCTCCATAGCTGAGCGTCGCACTGGCCTCACCACATACCTGGGCATGTACACGATCTGAGAATGGCACATCTCCGACCATGTACTCAATAAGAACAATAATACCAGCATGATTGCCTGAAATAAACATATTCTTATTAAACCTCTTTCTTTGCTTCATTCATTATAACATGGGAGTTGTTCCCAAGATTGTGGAATCCATATCATTCAATAACTTACATTTTATTTCGAAGAATGCAGTTTTGCATATTCTAACTTTTGATTTTAAATTATCATTTTTCACAGAATAGCTGAACCCTCTCTTATATATATACAGTCAAACCCCGCTATAGTGAACACGGCTTATAGTGAACTCCCGGATATAATGAACGAAAGGCTCGGTTCCGTGCCTTGCTATACACGTATAATGTTATTTTTAGTGGATATAGTGAACCAAAAAAGTGAGGAAGTTGGATATAATGAACTTTTTTCTGTCTTCGACTGATTTCCCCCCCCATTTTCTTTGTAATAATTTTGAAATTTCTACTTCAAAATAAATACATATACCGATTTTTAAAACCATCTATAGAAACTACTTTTATGTGCTCGAATGGCAG